ACAGCATTTTTATTACTTATCTTTAATTTATTTTTACGTGTGTCAATTTTAATTGTATAAGTGATATCATAGGATCTATTATAAGAATAGATTATAAATAAAACTAAATTAAGCATCTAAATTAAGCAAACTAAGAAAAAAAGAAAATTATAATATACTAACTTTTTGTTATAGTGATCATGACAAAGTAATGTGTGGTATTTCAAGCGATAGTAATATCACCATGTTTACATTACTTGCATTTATACATCTCGCTAATATTTATAAAGTATATTAAAAACAAAATTGGAAAATTTTGTGAACAATTGGAAAATATCTCTTTCCATTGAAGATTTGTTCGTTTCGTCATGACTGTCCTTATAACAAATAATTGTGTTTAATCATTGTGTTTTAATTGATTCTATATTTATTTCTGAAAACGTCATATAAAATGATACAAGACATTAGTTGAACTTCAATTTCTATTATTAAAACTTAAACTGTTACAGTGACAATATGATTTTAACATACATTGTGTTTGAAATAAAATAAATATTGCGGTTATATAAGTTGTTTTGATAAAACTGCATATTAAGGACCATTTCGCCGATGACCAGCTTAACCGTTAAAGTTTAACGGAATTCGTTAAGAAGTCACACAATGCTAGTGAGATACACGTATATACTTTATCATATTATGAATATTACATATTTTAAAAGTAATATTTAATTTAGATAAGTCTAATATAAATTACCAATAACAATTTAATAATTTATATAATACAGAAAGCAGAGATATTCTTTATCAAAACTCGTCCAAACTAAGCCATCCTGTTTATATTTCATTGCTTTGCTCTTCGAACATTATTCGCATTGTTGTAAAATAGGAGAATATAGTTGACAGGTACTGAAATATTTATGATATCAAAACATATATTTTTCTCAATAAAATATGTGTGTTTGTGTAGTTATTATATCATTATTATTATGTGTACTTTTATTTCAGTTCCAACCCTTTAAGTTCCAACAGTCTTGGTTGTATCTCTTATATGAATCACTATGTGCTCAACCATCACAACTAATAATGAGAGACCTAAAGAAAAACATTTTATTTATCATCTCTGTTTGATGATTTTTATAACTTTTCCTCAAGATTTTAAAATAGTTTTGGAAGGAAGAGAGAATTTATATGCGTAAAAAGTTTCCAAATCAAAAAAATTTCTCTGGCCTTAAAGGGATTAACGTAAAATAACGCACATATTTGCAAATTATCGAGGAATCTTAGCAATGATTGAAGTCACTGTCTCACCGATGCGTAATAACGTAAAGATAACGAAGGTAGACCGCATGGCAACGCAACAACTATTGGTTTTTGGCTTCTTAGTATAATCATTTGTAAGTTCTTCCGAAGATTATTCGATCCATCGTACCAGTTTGTCTCAAAGGCTGCATGTGCCACGTCACTGCTCTACAGAAGATACCACGAAACAAAGGCATTATATTACGAAACGTAGTAATGTCATTTCTTGCGAATAATGGACTTACTATATGGATTAAATGTTCGGCAGGCCATGCATACATAAATACTTCTGATAATGCGCTGAAGGCTAAGAAGATAAATTGAATCTTCAATGGTAATGATGCTCCCTGTTTGGAGCACACATACGTGATACAAAATTATATCGTAATCATAATGTTCTCTTTTTTTTCTCGATATAGAACAGCGTCAGGGTGTCGATAGAATTATACTTACTGTAATGAGAATAAGACCGAATACTATTAACGAGACAGTACTGAAAAACACAGTTCCCAATGCAAAGGGGCGAACTGTATAAGCAACTTCCCTTGCGTATCTAAAACATCATATTTCATAATGGGTGTTTCGTTTCACATATATGCCGTCATTCACGAGGTTGTAGTTATCTAGACGTACTGTAAAACGTTAGTTGAATGCTTTGTAAGACTTCCCGACAAACTGCGTTATTACGATAAATTAAGTTTCTATCAGTAGGACGGAAACATAGGAAACGCCTATGCATATGTGAAAACAATAAAAGATTAAAAATATCGTTTTTGTAAATGATGACATTTCTAATATGATGTGACACTGTGCGAAAAATTTGATGTATATGTATACGTGATTCTGAAAACTGATGAAATGTTGCACCTACTGGCATGGTATCGGAAGAAATAAATATGTAGTAAATAAAAATGCTATATTCTTAGTCAGTTTTATCTTTGTAACTGTTTAGGATGAAACACATTCGCAGGAAATTTTCTTTCACAACGACCGATGCTACCTATCCACAGATATCAATCTTTCTTACCAAAAATATAGATTGTACGCAAATGTAATATTTTCAACTAATCATCTTTGCTTTATTATAAAGAACGACGATATATCATACTTAAGTAAGTGTTGATGTTTCTCGATGCACTTAACGAAATCGTAAGTATTCGCGATTTCCCGTATGTCCTCGGTCAGCAATCTGAACCTCGCTGATACCACCCAGAGTAACAGTGCCATGAAAGCGTTTATAGACAAATGCGCAGCTATTTGCAAGCCCACAACAATTTGATGCAGATATGTAATAGTCCTCAGCGGTTGATGGGACGCGTCAAACGGAAAATCGGCTGGTGCTGGGAGTGGCTGATCCAGCACAAAAGGTCCCACGAAGAGAGCGAAAAGAGTCATGTAATACGAAGCTATGCAAAATCCGTAAAAGCTGGCACATTTATTGATATATTTTCGTTGTAAAATCACTTCTTCGTGAGGCTCGATCAACGCGCAAAAACTCTCCATTTCGAAAGTGACGCACTGCAATATTCATGAATAAATAACGACTGTGTAAAAGTGATAGAGAGGATAAACTTCATCCTTAAAAAACAATGTCAGTTACTTGTAAACGTTGATAAATAAATATGTGACACCAAATGTTCCAAATAACGTGACTGCTCGGGAACAGACCTAGAGCTGATTTTATAACGAGATTAAGATCTTCTTTTAAATTCTTCACCAGAGCATACAACATCGACGCTATCACAGCTATAGTCAGTATCATAGAGACGAACTGATACAACTTCATGCACAATAGCTTGCGTTTGCTGGAATTCTGCGGCAACGGCCAAAACCATATAACGAACACACTCAACTTCACGACGGCGATCACTTTTTTTAGCGTTACTTTTTCTTGCATTATGCGGAACTAACGTGTACCATAGATAAGTATTGTTTATTTCGAACAATCGACGATATAAGAATTTGCGGCGAAATATCATGGATTGGATGCAATACAGTTTTTTACTTAAGAAGCGACATTCGAGGAAATATAGTCCAAGTAATATTCTTGCAAAATAATACGATGAAAATGAAAGTTCGAGGACTCTAGGGTTAATACTTGTTGTACTATTTATCATTGGTACGAAATTGAAAAAGTGCATTGAAGAAGTAGCATGCGTTATGACGAATTAAATTAATATATGCCTTTGCAATTGTACTGAAGTATAAAACATCCGTTGAAGTAAAATGAAACACAGTCTATGATATAAAATATTCATTGCTGCGTATAGCCTATAGATTGAAATCAAATAGCAAGGAAGATGAATAATTCAGCTGATATTCTCTCATTTCACAATTGTTAAATTATCGTTTCAGAAGGTATACATCGGATAATAAAATATTCCATCATCAATTGAGGCATTGTAAAGATGAGTGGAAGTTACTTTTTTAACTTCTGGGTGCAGTGTAAGTTTATTCGATGCAGAATATATTGACAGTTTTGCCACAGAAGTTTCAATTAAATTATTTTAGACATTGATTTTAATTTTTTGAAACTAAATTCTTATTACATTTTCTTCGATTAAATATGAATGTAACAAATGTAACAGTATATCGACTATGAAAATAGGAGTTTTAGTAATTCATTATAATATGTAGAATCTTTCTTCGTGAAAACTTTATCTGTGAGAACTTATGGTACTGACTCATATATGACATTAAATGACATTATTACTGGAATGTAAACTGCCAGCGCCTATGTAGTAAAAAAGAGTGACGGGTTGAATTTCTATCTCTGTTTAACGAATTTTAATTGATCAATGGTTTTCTATGTTCTTTATCATGTAACGTCAGTTTTACTAACATTCTCAACTTGTCGATTGACTGGTTGATAGTTGTCAAATGCTTTCATATATAATTTTTCACCTATATATACAGACCATATGTTATGAATACCTTATAGAAAAAATATATATTGGTAAGTGAGAAATTTATATTTTTAGAAAGTAGATTCAGAACTTTTGAATAATTTATTTATACATCTACACAGATGTTCTCTCCATATTCAAGCATTATTAATTTTCTTGAACAGTGTATTCAACTAAATTAACCACATGCAACATTTCTATTTATATTTTTTATTAATTTTCATCACCGCTCAATATTACTCGTAATGTTGTGAAATAGGAGAGCATAGTTGAAAGATACCGGAACAGACGAGAATAAATGCCATTTTAATTCAATTATTTAAATCTTTTGCGTCAGGATAATTTTTGATTATGTATAACAATTCTATTGTGATTTATACAAGAATTTACTATCGTGATAATAAATTCCTGATATTTCGACTTGATAATTCGTATCTGGATTTTCAAATATGTCGGTATAAATTTACTTGTATACTGCGATAATTGATTGTTTGAAAGACACAGTTCCAAATGACAGCTGCTGCATATAAACATTATCACTTTTGCTAAATGAATAGGATCGCCGTATTTCGTAATAGAGTAGATTAAAGGCGCCATCAAGCCCATCGCCAGAATAATATTTATGTATCGATACAAGACACCGTAAATTATATTTGACAACAGCCAACCCCAAGCGGGAAGCAGACTTAACTTTACACCGGCTATTACCTTCTTTAGCCTTAACTTTCCGGCCATAAATGTTGCATATATCCATTTTACAAAATTGATATCATCCAATGAGAGGATACGATAAAGGGACGCGTGGTAAGAAAAATACAAATGTATGCGCATATGTATTTCTCCTTCTTTTCTTCCGCACGAGATATGCATCGGTAAATTACGGCGCGTTGCGATGTTATGTATTTACGCTCGATTACTACGTAGCGCTAAAAAAGAGACGATGAAGTATGCATAGAGTAATATGAAACATATTCTACTGAAGATAGGCAAGAATGAAAATATTTTGCTACGATATAGAATATACTTTATTCTTTAAAGTTACACTCAGTAATTTGAGTGATATCGGTACTCTCCCTATCCATATATTGTTCGTAAGTTATAATCTTGAGGAAAAGAGTTTTTATATTATAAAATGCGCAGTATAAGATGTAAAGAGACTGCCATAGAATTGTAGCGGTAATAGAATTTTTATTGTACAAAGATGAACAGTAAGACAGGCGGATCATTCGGACTTCTCGCCAGAGTGAATCGGATCAATACAAGTTTCGGGACTTGTTTCACAGTTTTTTGTTTCAAACGAACTGTTTTATCTTGCCAGTTCTATTCAAACAAACTGTTTTGTCTTGCCAGTTATATACTTTCTCCGCACTTGTTTGGAAGAAAACACGACAACTGTCTCAAAGCTTTTGTTCATTCGATTCACCCTGTGATCACTTCAGTCTACCCTGTGGCGGTGAAGAACTGTAAAAACATGACATTACATCAAAAGCAGAACGTAGCAACATTCTGTTCAACACTGGTAAACAAATCCTGTTAGTTATTTTTCAGATTTCAGCATTGATTTCTTTTCGATAAAATCATTTTGTCCATTTTATTTCCTTTTTAACATCTACTTATATGATATATATATATATATATAACTGAAATGGCCGTGTAGGAAAGAGTGGGAGAAGCGTTCTATAATCGTTAAATGCGTCGCGACAGAATAGATTTATTAAAGGAACCGATAATTAATAAGAAAAATGAATATTTCTATTATCGCGACAGTCTTCGTATTATACAGATGGTGAACATAAGCTTACAAAATTTACGTGGTCAATTTTCGATATAGCGTCAGGTCAAATCGACCATAGTGGAAAGACAAATGTCACGCATGCGCTTTACAACAAATTGAACAGTGATAAAGACAGACTAGTTTTATCCGTACCGCAGTGCTGCGGTCCCGTTCAAAGCTTCGTTAGCTATATAGTAGTATTACATATATCATAATATATTTCGATATCGTTCCGCCTTAACACTCCGAGCGTACAGTGGAACGCATCCAAATCCGCGGACTATTTGGTCTGTTCTTTTTAGCTAAACTAGCTGCACTAGTTTAAAAAATGTTAATGCACCTGTAGCATGAAAATCTCTCGTACATACACTTTATACGCTTCAAGGCTCTGGAACTAATGTAGTCAGTTTAGCTAAAAAGAACAACTACATTCTCCTCCTTCTAGTTTGTCATATAGTTCAATACACCAACCATACATTTTCTTTTTTGGATAAATTTCGGAACGCATCCCGTGTCCAATCAGAGAGTTTATTTTTGAGCTATTCTCTAGAGACGCATTCTCCTCCATTGGTTACGAGATGCGTTGCGAAACTCATGAAAAGTGCCTTTCTGTCCATCACTGTGCTTTTTATTTTCAAGCACGATACGACTCAACGATGTATCAGACGCATTTTATTTTTCAATTATACAATTCAATAGTTAGCTAAATGACTTTTTCATTTGTGTTTTTTTTATATTTATATTTTTAAGTAGTATGACTCAACGCGACTCCGACGGGAATGGAAGAAACTGCATGCGTCTGATCGTTATCGAACAATCTCCGTATTATTTTAAGATTTACTTCCGGAGGAATGACTACTTTGATATTCGGCGTTGGCATAGGATTATTTATCATCCTTGGCTTGTGGGTATTAGCTGCGCTGATATTTTTGATATCTTTGCGCATCGAGAAGAAAGTCGGCGCTATCGCTATATTGCTCGTGAGCGTGCTGACGATTATTTTGATTAGTGTACCGCGCGCATCGGAGAAGCCCGCTGCTACGGAGAATAAGGTAAATCTTACAATTACGGTCAATTGAATAATGACATAAATTCGAATTATAACGTAGTGGTCAAATGAAATGTGAATTACTTGGTACTATTACTTTGTAAGTTTATTGAAAAACAATTGCTATACAGTGTAATTGACACATGATTTACCACAAGTAGGAATGTAATTTTAACGTTGAAAGAAGTATTTATGTGTCAACAATGTTATAATTGTATTTCTGCCTACACATACACTAGTACCAACTTACATGCAGCACGTAGAATAAACTAACAGATGAATATTTTTGTAGGTATACGATCGACTTTTCGTCTGGCGTATAATACTCCTTATTTTATTACTTATTTCATCTATAATTGGTCTTACGGGATATATCAAATTTGGATTGGTGGAAACTGTCAGACCAGTCAGGATATCCAATTGGGTTTACTAGATTTCTCTGGTATGTTTTTAATACAAAACATTTCTCTTGTTATAATATCAAGATTTATATATATCAAAATATGTAGAAGCTGCATGTATATAATGTTGTATATGTTCAACATAATGATATCATATTATTGTTTCACACAATTAAAGAGCTCATTTTTAAAGCTTCTTAATTTCTACTTTTTACAGGTGCTTTTGTAGAGCAGCAAATGTGAAGATATTCAATGTTTGCAGATATAGTTAATTTATAGATGTGACATCAGTCTTTTTGCACACACATTGCTGTTGATGTCCTGACTATATTGCCAATAATATAAAAATAGCAAGGATGCTGTGCAGTATCAGAAATTGCATGCCGTCTGTGGTGAGACGTATCTCATTATTTCGTCAAAACAATAAAAGATACGAGATAAATAATAACAATGAATTTGTGAATAAAGTGATGAATGGCACAGTGCCAGTTATAGTTAATTTTCATGCAGAATGGTGCGATCCATGCAGAATATTGACACCCAAATTGATAGAGCTCATAGAACCTATGGAAAAGTTAGATCTAGCTATCATCAATGTGGAAGAGAATCCTGAACTAGTACACGTCTTTGAAGTAAAAGCTGTACCTGCAGTTATAGCAATCTCGAATGGCCTAGTTGTAGACAAATTTATTGGTTTAGTCGACAATGAAATGATAGAGAATCTAATACAGAAGTTGACGCACGGAGGACCAATAGATACAGAAAGTGAGAACACAAAGATGTAATTATCTCTTAGTATTCTTTTAGTATATTTTCATATATATAGATTAAAAAAATGTAATAAACCTAGCCACTTCGTCCAAGTAAGTATAGTTTGACGCCTTATCTGTCAATTTGTAGAGAAAATATGATATTTTGAGTTGCTTCGTCTGAGCAAGAAGCTCTCTTTCCTCCTAAGGCCTTCCTTTTATCTAATCGTACCAAGATAAGCGTTGCTGGTCAACCTTTTCAATATATTTACGTTTTATAGTGATACAACGATCACTTATTACAATATATATATATATATATATATATATATATAGATTAAAAAAATGTAATAAACCTAGCCACTTCGTCCAAGTAAGTATAGTTTGACGCCTTATCTGTCAATTTGTAAAGAAAATATGATATTTTGAGTTGCTTCGTCTGAGCAAGAAATCTATATATATATATTACACACACACACACACACACACACACACACACACACACACACACACACACACACACAAGCATATACATAATATATATGTATTAATATATACATGTGTTAATCTTTACAAGTCTGATGTCTGGGCTATAATGTAATGAAAAATTTGTACTTCTCTATTTAGAAACTCGATAATGCGAAACTTGTTCACCAGCCTATATTATTGAATTGACCAAAAAGATTAGTGCACTTGTAGTTTTGCTGTAGGATTTTCGAAAGATATAACGTGATTCTACTACTATAGGGCCAGTAATCGTACGAAGTAGTTGTGATATACATCTTTTTAGACACGATTTTTTTCCACCATTTCCCATATTGCGGTATTTTTACTTGATATTTATATATTTCACATAGTATACGTGAATTTATTGTATCACTTTACGAATAAGACCGATAACGAACGATGTGCAAAGATAATAACGAATTTTACCAATTGATTCGAATGTGTAATTGCGTTCCTATATGCGCATATTGCGATATATATTCTTAAAATATGTTTCATACATGTACATACATGCATATTTCATTGATATAGATTAATTTTATTTAAAAGAGAGAGATTTATAATATAATAAAATATGCACACGATACTTAATTTGCGCAATGTTAAATTATACCAGGTGTATATAATAATTTCAGTCAGTTAATCAAGAGGCTAGAGAGAATATAGTTACGTCTTAGTATTTTTTAGATTTACACGACGTAAATTGCGTATCTTTTATAGCGATATAAGAGGCGAGATAAAAACTAGTTATCTAATCAGGTTTCAGTTTCTCATTTATTTTTTATCGTAAAACAATTGTGTACAATCAGTGTATGAAAGTACTGTCCATTAAAGATAATAGTAGGCCAGAGATATAATAAAGATTATTAACTCCACGTAAATTCTCTGGTGAAAGAGCACCTCCCGTAACTTTCGGCAGCAAGCAATACGTAAGTGTGTGTGTACCAACAATTAAAAGACTAGCTATAATCTTTTTCATCATCAGTCAGGTGTTTTTTAAGACACCACGATAAGGCAATGCTGTGATTCCGTGGTCACTTGCAAAACAACTTTTCCTTCCTCTTTCTCTTTCTTCTGCTTGCTAAATATATCGTTTCTTGACGATGACGGCGAACAAGCCAACGGATTTGACAATTTTTGCAAGTAACCCTGCGTTCCTTATTATTTAATATAATCTACACATAT